GGTTTTGAAGGGTGCAGATCACGGATTCAGCCTGAGGCTATTCTTAAGGGATGAATAAGTCTATTAAACGGGGTTTGGGGCGGAAACATTCCGGGGCAATTTTTGCCAGTTTCCAAAGGGGTACCATCACCGATTTCGGGCGATTTTATGGAAAGTCCATTTTCCTTGGATTTTGAATGCGACGGATCACAGATTCGGCCTTAGGGTACTCTCCACCAACGATGAAGTCTAGCAATGGCCGATTTGGTCGGAAATTTCCGGAGTGCATTTTCGTAATTTTTAGGCGCTTTTTTCGAAAGGCCATTTTCCTTGGGTTTTGAAGGGTGCAGATCACGGATTCAACCTGAGGCTATTCTTAAGGGATGAATAAGTCTATTAAACGGGGTTTGGGGCGGAAACATTCCGGGGCAATTTTTGCCAGTTTCCAAAGGGGTACCATCACCGATTTCGGGCGATTTTATGGAAAGTCCATTTTCCTTGGATTTTGAATGTGACGGATCACAGATTCGGCCTTAGGGTACTCTCCACCAACGATGAAGTCTAGCAATGGCCGATTTGGTCGGAAATTTGGTCGAATTTTTCCGGAGGGCATTTTCGTAATTTTTAGGCGCTTTTTTCGAAAGGCCATTTTCCTTGGGTTTTGAAGGGTGCAGATCACGGATTCAGCCTGAGGCTATTCTTAAGGGATGAATAAGTCTATTAAACGGGGTTTGGGGCGGAAACATTCCTGGGCAATTTTTGCCAGTTTCCAAAGGGGTACCATCACCGATTTCGGGCGATTTTATGGAAAGTCCATTTTCCTTGGATTTTGAATGCGACGGATCACAGATTCGGCCTTAGGGTACTCTCCACCAACGATGAAGTCTAGCAATGGCCGATTTGGTCGGAAATTTGGTCGAATTTTTCCGGAGGGCATTTTCGTAATTTTTAGGCGCTTTTTTCGAAAGGCCATTTTCCTTGGGTTTTGAAGGGTGCAGATCACGGATTCAGCCTGAGGCTATTCTTAAGGGATGAATAAGTCTATTAAACGGGGTTTGGGGCGGAAACATTCCGGGGCAATTTTTGCCAGTTTCCAAAGGGGTACCATCACCGATTTCGGGCGATTTTATGGAAAGTCCATTTTCCTTGGATTTTGAATGCGACGGATCACAGATTCGGCCTTAGGGTACTCTCCACCAACGATGAAGTCTAGCAATGGCCGATTTGGTCGGAAATTTCCGGAGTGCATTTTCGTAATTTTTAGGCGCTTTTTTCGAAAGGCCATTTTCCTTGGGTTTTGAAGGGTGCAGATCACGGATTCAACCTGAGGCTATTCTTAAGGGATGAATAAGTCTATTAAACGGGGTTTGGGGCGGAAACATTCCGGGGAAATTTTTGCCAGTTTCCAAAGGGGTACCATCACCGATTTCGGGCGATTTTATGGAAAGTCCATTTTCCTTGGATTTTGAATGCGACGGATCACAGATTCGGCCTTAGGGTACTCTCCACCAACGATGAAGTCTAGCAATGGCCGATTTGGTCGGAAATTTGGTCGAATTTTTCCGGAGGGCATTTTCGTAATTTTTAGGCGCTTTTTTCGAAAGGCCATTTTCCTTGGGTTTTGAAGGGTGCAGATCACGGATTCAGCCTGAGGCTATTCTTAAGGGATGAATAAGTCTATTAAACGGGGTTTGGGGCGGAAACATTCCGGGGCAATTTTTGCCAGTTTCCAAAGGGGTACCATCACCGATTTCGGGCGATTTTATGGAAAGTCCATTTTCCTTGGATTTTGAATGCGACGGATCACAGATTCGGCCTTAGGGTACTCTCCACCAACGATGAAGTCTAGCAATGGCCGGTTTGGTCGGTAATTTGGTCGAATTTTTCCGGAGGGCATTTTCGTAATTTTTAGGCGCTTTTTTCGAAAGGCCATTTTCCTTGGGTTTTGAAGGGTGCAGATCACGGATTCAGCCTGAGGCTATTCTTAAGGGATGAATAAGTCTATTAAACGGGGTTTGGGGCGGAAACATTCTGGGGCAATTTTTGCCAGTTTCCAAAGGGGTACCATCACCGATTTCGGGCGATTTTATGGAAAGTCCATTTTCCTTGGATTTTGAATGCGACGGATCACAGATTCGGCCTTAGGGTACTCTCCACCAACGATGAAGTCTAGCAATGGCCGATTTGGTCGGAAATTTGGTCGAATTTTTCCGGAGGGCATTTTCGTAATTTTTAGGCGCTTTTTTCGAAAGGCCATTTTCCTTGGGTTTTGAAGGGTGCAGATCACGGATTCAGCCTGAGGCTATTCTTAAGGGATGAATAAGTCTATTAAACGGGGTTTGGGGCGGAAACATTCCGGGGCAATTTTTGCCAGTTTCCAAAGGGGTACCACCACCGATTTCGGGCGATTTTGTGGAAAGTCCATTTTCCTTGGATTTTGAATGCGACGGATCACAGATTTGGCCTTAGGGTACTCTCCACCAACGATGAAGTCTAGCAATGGCCGATTTGGTCGGAAATTTGGTCGAATTTTTCCGGCGGGCATTTTCGTAATTTTTAGGCGCTTTTTTCGAAAGGCCATTTTCCTTGCGTTTTGAAGGGTTCAGATCACGGATTCAGCCTGAAGCTATTCTTAAGGGATGAATAAGTCTATTAAACGGGGTTTGGGGCGGAAACATTCCGGGGCAATTTTTTCCAGTTTCCAAAGTGGTACCATCACCGATTTCGGGCGATTTTATGGAAAGTCCATTTTCCTTGGATTTTGAATGCGACGGATCACAGATTCGGCCTTAGGGTACTCTCCACCAACGATGAAGTCTAGCAATGGCCGATTTGGTCGGAAATTTGGTTGAATTTTTCCGGAGGGCATTTTCGTTATTTTTAGGTGCTTTTTTCGAAAGGCCATTTTCCTTGGGTTTTGAAGGGTGCAGATCACGGATTCAGCCTGAGGCTATTCTTAAGGGATGAATAAGTCTATTAAACGGGGTTTGGGGCGGAAACATTCCGGGGCAATTTTTGCCAGTTTCCAAAGGGGTACCATCACCGATTTCGGGCGATTTTATGGAAAGTCCATTTTCCTTGGATTTTGAATGCGACGGATCACAGATTCGGCCTTAGGGTACTCTCCACCAACGATGAAGTCTAGCAATGGCCGATTTGGTCGGAAATTTGGTCGAATTTTTCCGGAGGGCATTTTCGTAATTTTTAGGCGCTTTTTTCGAAAGGCCATTTTCCTTGGGTTTTGAAGGGTGCAGATCACGGATTCAGCCTGAGGCTATTCTTAAGGGATGAATAAGTCTATTAAACGGGGTTTGGGGCGGAAACATTCTGGGGCAATTTTTGCCAGTTTCCAAAGGGGTACCATCACCGATTTCGGGCGATTTTATGGAAAGTCCATTTTCCTTGGATTTTGAATGCGACGGATCACAGATTCGGCCTTAGGGTACTCTCCACCAACGATGAAGTCTAGCAATGGCCGATTTGGTCGGAAATTTGGTCGAATTTTTCCGGAGGGCATTTTCGTAATTTTTAGGCGCTTTTTTCGAAAGGCCATTTTCCTTGGGTTTTGAAGGGTGCAGATCACGGATTCAGCCTGAGGCTATTCTTAAGGGATGAATAAGTCTATTAAACGGGGTTTGGGGCGGAAACATTCCGGGGCAATTTTTGCCAGTTTCCAAAGGGGTACCACCACCGATTTCGGGCGATTTTGTGGAAAGTCCATTTTCCTTGGATTTTGAATGCGACGGATCACAGATTTGGCCTTAGGGTACTTAATAATTTCATCTCTTAAACATTTTCACATATAGTTTGCTCGAAAGAATTGATAAATCATAAGGTTGTACCAGTCCCTGAGAGACGATACCCGGACTTTCCGGTTTTACTACAAGATAGGATTAAGGCATACGCTTTTGCCCTATCAAGTTTTTGAACTTGATAGGGCAAAAGCGTATGCCTTAATCCTATCTTGTAGTAAAACCGGAAAGTCCGGGTATCGTCTCTCAGGGACTGGTACAACCTTATGATTTATCAATTCTTTCGAGCAAACTATATGTGAAAATGTTTAAGAGATGAAATTATTAACTATTAGCAAAATAATTAAACTAATTAAGCAAAGTAAACTTGTCGAGGAAAATTCAATGGGAGAAAGCTCTGGGAGAAACACCGGGATTCACTACCTATCCTATCCAGATTAATTCACATATTCCAATCAATTTAATCCATACCTCTACAGCCAGGATATAACTACTGTGCTAGCTATCCCTGTCGGGAATTACTACGTACTAAATAATCAATTCAAATCCTACTGTCGTAGCTCAATGAATTAACTATATAGCCTGAAGATCGATATCCTATTTAAGACCGCATAGCACCTTATTTAATCCACTGTCGCTTCGATAAGTTACTATGTCACATGAAACAGGTTCAGTTAATAGGGTTTCACTGTCGCTAATAACCTAATTAACTACAAATCGTTGTATTGGTGGCCAGTCAACACAAAGCATTAAGAAATTTCATGCAATAGAGATTGGAAGAAAAGAATCATGAATCAATCCATCAAATCAAGAAATAGCTACATCCTATGGTGTTTCCCCCAGAAATTGGGGTTTAGTTCATGACGAAATTAAGATAAATCGATAGGGTTTTGTTCATCATGTTCTAAATCAACAAGAAACAACTAATTAGGTTCAGAAAATCCAACCAACTAATCGCTCTCGTTGCACTCAGCTCAGGTAGCCTTGAAAATCTCAATCGCCGATGGGAATCGACTGATCGCTGGATGCGTGCTGCTGCCTTGCGCTTTCTTTCTCTTCTCCTCCAAGAATTCCGCCCGCGACCTCTCTATTCCTTCTCCGCCAGCTCCTTCCTTCCTTTCTTTTCTTCTTTTTTTTTTCCCAAGACCTTCCGCTGCCTTTTTCCCCAAAAAGAAATCCGCCCTCCTCAAGAATTCCTTTGGGCTTTGGCCCACTTCCTTTTCTTTCTTCCTTCTGGATTTTTCTGGACCACAGTCAAATGGCCGCCCACAAAAATTGCTCCCTTTAATTGCTTCCCAATTTCTGGCCGGCCCAATTCTTCTTCCTTTCGGGTTCCGCCAATCCCCCTGGCCCATGTCATTAATCCCCTTTCAGCTGGGCTTTAAGCCCAGCATTCGAGAATTGTTTGCCGGTGCAACTTCTTTTTCGTGTTTTCTTCACCTGTAATACATCAAACTCATGGCACTAGGCAGTAATGGTTTTTCAACCATTCTCGGGTTAGCGAGCCCTAAAATAGCACCAATTGGCTAAAACATACCATGGATAATCACATAAAGTCCAAGAATTCAATATGTTAAAGCCGATTATCACAACCCCACACTCAATTGTTGCTTGTCCCCAAGCAACGACTCAAACAACACAAACACAAAATGACACACCACAGACTCACTAATCAAACACTCAAACCAAGACACAAAATTTCCTTGTACTCTTGTTGTAATCAGTAGTTTCTTTCTCAACGGACAAGTTGTGCTCTAATGGTCATACCTTTCACCCCACACTCAAGTTCTTTGCAACCATTACCATTGACTGACTCAAATCCACCAAAAACTCAAATAGCAACACTCAATTTCGATCGTCGGTAGTGGGTGGTTAACAACTTATGGTGCAACAGTTATTAAGAGAATCTAACCACATCAGTGAGGTGCATATCTCGTGAGGACAATCTGACTTACTCACACCAATCATAAGCAATTAATTAAGAATGAGTCTCAAAAACTAATGGGGGAAGCCTTTCGCAAACAAGATTTTAATTTTAAGCACATCACTACCTTTTATGACAAGGAGAGGCTTTCTCTCTTTCTGCTTTTGCTTGCCGAGAAGTCGTATTTAGTACAAGTGGGATTTGTTTCTTACTACCGGTGACCGAGCAATAGCAATTTCTGCTTCTTAGCACTCGCATAAGGGCTTCTTTTAACTCCTTTTCCTCGGTCCGTGTGGAGGGTCATTGCACATCCTCAAATGGCACTTCACTCAACTGGGGATCGTACTTGATAAGCAACATCGTACGGTCGCGAACCGATTCTCAATTGAATCTTTCCTCATCCCCATGTGCAATGAGTGATTGCCTCACACGATGTTGGCATTTTTACCCACACTTTAATTGTTATGGCAACTTTCTTATCTTTTACTTGTCAGGTAGTGTTTTCTTTTATGAAGATACAGTTCACCCCATCATAAAACATTCAAAACAGAGACTCGTTGCAAAATCAAAAACTCACAATTGATGCAAGTAAGCACGGTATCCAAACATATCGAATGGTCAATGTTCTCCACCTAGCTACTTCACCAAAAGTCGTTACACTATCCTCACAAAAGAGAATGTTGCTAAAAGAGTTTGCTCATTCAAAGCATATCAAGTCAGTCAAAACATTCAAGCTCATTGTGAAGAACTATGCAATTCAACACTAGTGGGGTGATTTCGATGATTTCATTCAAGCACAAACTCATTTTCAAAGCATCACGGTCATTTACATCATGTTACCACAAGAGTACAAGGTTTTGTTTTTAATTTTTCTGATTTTTAGGTGTTTTTTAGCCATTAGATTAACACAGGCAGACTGCTTTTTACACAGGCAGACTGCTTTTTACACAGGCAGACTGCATGCAGTTTAGCTGTGCTCAACCTAATGGCAATTTTTTTTTTTTTTTTTTTTACACAAAACGAGACACTGTGGACAACTACGACTCGACATAAAACACAAAACACGACAAGAACACAGACCATCCACCCCACACTCAGGATGGACATTGTCCACAATGTCTACAACTACACACGACACACCAATCGGTTCACCTAACTAACATTATACAGACCATTATCAGAAGTATTCACAAAGAAAAGAAGAAAAGAAATAAGAACCTCGGGACAAGCTCCTATGAAGGAGGGGTCGACGAAGAAGTGCCGAGCTTCTCATCTAGACGCCGGTTTAGCTCCTGGATCTTCTTATCTTTCTCTGCGTCTCTGGCTTCTAAGAGAGTTATTCTGGCTCTGAGCTCGTCTGTAGATGATGGTGAAGCTGGTATGACTGGTGGGGTATCTTCTGGATGCGGAACTGGAGTAGGATGGGACTGCTGGCCTTGACTGACACTCGAGTTCGAGTGCCCCGCTGCTGTCGGTGTAGGAGCTGGAGCTGTGGTCGGAGTGGCTACTGATGGTGCGGCAGATGATGCCGAAGCAGAAGTTGCTCTAGCAGCTCTTGCTGCCCTTTTTCGATTGACCTTGGTCTCCCACTCCTTGTATTTGGCGATAGATAGATACTCTCCACGAGATCCTACTATCCTCAGAAAACCCAATTTGCCTAATGTTGCTTCCCCAAGTAGAGTCGAGCCATCACTGATCTCCAAACCCGTAGGGTTCTCCGGGAACCCCCAGTAAGCTCGAGCTAAGGCAGTAATGATTCCCCCACACATAATTGCTCCGCAAGTCTTCAGTGCATCATTTTCCAGCATCTTACCCACCATGTACCCAACACACAATGGTGTTCCAGTAACAAAACTGTGAATGTACCTGAGATCGGTGGTGTAGACACCACTGGCATTGGATCCCTTTCCCAAGACAGTGCGAGCCAGGTAGTCATGTACTAGTGGGATTATCGGGTCTCTGATCGATGCTCTCCTCGAAGAAGTAGGATTGAATTCCTTTCCATCTGCCACAATTGTCGTCCAAAACTCACTCAAGTCCTGCTTTTCATCAGGAATTGCATCTGCTGGACCATCGAAGAGAAGTGCTCGGTTTACTTGGCTCAAAGAGAGGGACTTTGTTTTCCCTGCCAAAGTACTCTGAAGCTTGCTCTCAACCCCATTATTCTCGAAGCTGTATGTGGCCAAGAATGCTCTGGTGAGGTGTGGATAAGTGGGGAAGTGCAGCTCCGGAAATCGTGCCCAATTCATTCGGCGGAAGTATGTCATCACTTCCTCAGCCCGCTCGGTCTTCTGCAATGCTGCATAGTCCATGAACTGAGAAGGGGTGACCGCTCGTTTCATCAGATCGGCATATTCTTCCTTATGTTTCTGGAGCTGGACAGGCTGACCGAACGTCTTAGAGACGTCCTTTGGAGGAGGAGTGCCAGCCTTCTTCTTGCTTGCACTTAGGCTAGTACGACGTGGTGTCGTGGATGGTGCAGGTGCTGAAGAAGAAGACATCTGTGATCGTGAAGATGAGCTCGATTGCTGGAGACGACTCCTCTTTGCTGGCCTGCTCTCCGGTGATACAACTGGTGTTGAATCTGGTAATGGAGGTTCTTCAGTAGGCATTTGAGCAGGCTGCTGTGGTGGAGATGGAGTTGGAGAAGTCATCTCAATAGTCCTGGACCGCATCGTGGGTCCAACCTGGCCGGTGATCACCCTGTAAAATCGAGCGGGCATGTTGACCGCTTGAAGTTGTGGAGGAACTTCTGGAATTGGGCTGTCTCTATCGGTCACCTTGTGGCTGTCTTCAATCATCCACGAACGGTAAACAGTCTTCCCATCTTCACTTTGATCTGTTACCTTGAAATGCCGAGGTGGAGGGATATACCTTCGACGTCCCATATCTGCAACCAAGAGTGCAAACTGGAAAACAAACTTCTTAAACCTCCCCTCTGCTCTTGAACCACTAAGGTTTCACAAATCTGTACTCTGCTTCCCAAATTCCAGTTCACTGCTACCACAATCAGAAAATCCCCAAATTCTGCAACCCACAATTCAACCAATTCTCAAGATGCACCCATAAATCTTCTGCAAATATTCTTCTAGACAGTAATTGTAACACCCTACCCTATACGTTTTGCCTAATCATATTGTTCACACAATTGCAGCGGAATCAATCTCGGGTGCTACATTAATTATCAAAATTTACCCAAATAAAATTTCGACATGAATTACTCGCGTAATGGGCTAACAGTTCTTGCAACTTGTCCTGCAAAATAATTCATCACAAACATATATACTCAAACCTTATACATGGACTTACATAGCCATAGTCACAGTTTCATACTACACAACTGCATACCAAACTTATACATACCATAATCGTCACAACTTACACAACCACATAAATATACACATATCATTAACTTTCCACACCTGTGGATATCTCACACTACATCAGAAGCTAGTATGCATATGAAAAACGTTCTCAAAACATTTTTACAAAAAGGGTGTGGATCACTGGCCAAAATCCCGAGTAGTAGTCCAAGCACAGAATAGTTGAAGACCATACCTCATCCTGGCTTCAACTCTAGCTCCTCTCCCACCTAACACTTATCTACTGTTGCTGCTGATGATCTGCTTACACATAGCATAAGCAGAGAAGAAGAATAAAAGAGGGTCAGCTCATAGCTGAGTGAGATAATCATAGCATCGTGAGTTCATAACAGAGCATACCTCTACCATACATCTAACAATCAAGCCAAAACACTAGGATCGGACCTCAGCCGTCCTCATATCCCAATAGGCAAAAGACTCAACCACCTTGACTTATGCATATGCATCTTATCATGTTTTACTTATAGGCGCCTGGCTACTCCCATGCTAATAACTCTCCCGGGAAACATACCCCACATCCCGTCGGATGTAGTCATACATACCCCAACATCCCGTCAGATGTGGTCATACATACCCCACACCACTATGGGTGTAGTCATACCCCGACACCACTCTGGGTGTGGTCATATCTCGTAAGAATTCTTCAATCACCACCACATGAGAGGTGTGACTATCATACATATCATAATAGAGTAATAGCATAGGGAGCCCTAATTACTATGTAGTTGACCGTGAGACCACAACACTCATATTTGGTATCCTTATACATGATTCATGTCTCATCTTGCTTAATCAATTCGTTACTTACACATGTACTTGACCTGACCATAGTTGGCTCAACATAGGTAAACCAGGAGTCGTATAGTTGCACTTCCTCGGGATAAACCCTCGTGCAAGTCATCCTCCTTAAAACATCATAATATCACCAGGGAATATATATTTTCCCACTTGTGCATCCAAATACAACAATCATGAAAAATCATACCTAATCACCTTCTCGAACCATCGTAAAGCATATTAACAGTCAAGCCCACAATTTGCAATATATACACAATCATCAGCATAAACAAGGTTCATATCGATTAGGGCAAGTCAATAATATCATACAGTAATCCAGGGTTCAACATATAGCACAAAAGCTCATACACCCCTAATCATGCCATTCTAGTTCACCTAGGTCAATTCTAAGCATCAATATAATTATCGTGATACGACAAACCCGGTATGCCGTGCTAATCCCTCACCAGTTCTGGTCGTTCAAACACCGGTTCTAGCCTCCCGTACTAAAACATCAATTTCACGAACGAGCCCCGAATTAAAATCCGAGACCGTCCTAATATCCCCTACAGTATCCCCGTCAATATTAGTTCTAGGCTCCGGGTCAAATTCTTGGTAAAAACACATCAAACCCTGGCCGGAGCTAAATTCAGCGGTTTGGACCCCGGCCTAAATAATAGCCGAAATTCAGGGATTAGAACTAGGGGATTGATTACCTCGCTGCAGGAAGCTCGTATATGAAATTTGGGCTCAATCCGGCTTCCGGATACTCCGAAACCCTAATTTGGCAGATCGGGAATTCAAGAAATTCCTGAACCAAAAACTCGTTTTAAAGATCTAAATCGATAAATCACGATGTATGGATGAATTAGGCATTACTTACGGGATTTTTGGATCACTGTAGCTCAAGAATCGAGCTACCAAAAATTATCCCCGGAGCTCTGCGTGCGGCTCTGCTCTGCTCTCGGTCCGTGAATGGAAAACGAAAGAACAAAATGAAATGGAAATGGATTGGGGCATTTTGTTTCTTGTACGTGGGGGTGGGGAGATTATAAAAACAGTCAGAACCGCTTTAGCGTTCCGTCATTATTATCTGTTTTTTTTTTAAATTTTCTTTTTATTATTATATACATAATATATAATTAATACGTATACTAATCCGATCGATCGATAATCCGATTTTCGTCGAAATACTGTTAAAACGCTCGATTTTAAATCGCGAACTTTCTAGCGATTGAAATATGGATTTTGCCGGAACGGGATGTTACAATTCTCCCCTCCTTAAAAGATTTCGTCCCCGAAATCTAACCTTGAGTCGTACTCTAACTCCCCTTACTAACCCTTAACATGGTCTATCGTAGATAAACCCTTACCTACCTCTTAGGTTAGGAGATTCATAACATAGAAAGTAACACCTAACACCTCAAGTTCCCATGTTTAGGTTTCAAAAACCTATACTGGGCTATCACAACAAAAGCACATCAGCAAGTTCAAAACATGTCTTATTAGGCAAGATTGTTAACCTGCAAAGTAGGTTGCTACCAACTCAGGGTACTTCTCTCGCATACTTGCTTCAGTTTCCCAGGTAGCACTCTCACTTTCTTGATTTCTCCAAACCACTTTCAACATTGGTATTTCTTTCCTGCGAAGAGTCTTAATCTGAAAATCAACAATCTCAACTGGAACCTCCTCAAAAGTTAAATCTGGACCCAACTCGATCTCTTCTGGTTGTATCACATGGGAAGGATCCACTTTGTACCTCTTCAGCATACTCACATGAAATACATTGTGGATTTGAGATAGTTCTGGAGGCAATGCTAGTTTATATGCCACTGGTCCAATCTTCTCTATGATTTCATAAGGTCCAATATACCGAGGTGCAAGTTTCCCTTTCTTACCAAATCTCATTACGCCTTTCCAGGGTGAAACTTTGAGAAATACTTTCTCACCCACCTCGAAATTAACTTCACGCCTATTCGTGTCAACATAAACTCTCTGTTGATCTTGAGCCACCCTCAAACGCTCCCTGATTTCCTTGACCTTGTCAACTGTGATCTGAACTATCTCTGGCCCTGAGATTTGCCTTGCTCCTTCTACATCCCAACATAATGGTGTTCTGCATTTCCTCCCATAAAGTGCTTCATATGGTGGAACACCCAAACTACTATGGTACTGATTGTTGTAAGCAAACTCAATCAAGGGCAAATGGTCAATCCATGATTCCTCCCATTGCATTACACATGATCGAAGTAACTCTTCTAAGGTAAGGATGGTTCGTTCACTCTGCCCATCTGTTTGAGGATGATAAGCTGAAGTAAAATGCAGTTTAGTTCCCAAGGCATCATGTAAACTTTGCCAAAACCGAGATGTGAAGCTCGGGTCTCGATCAGAGACAATAGAAATTGGCACACCATGCAATCTGACGATCTCCTTAATATACAGTTGAGACAAAGTCTCAAGTGATGGTTTCCACCTAATGGGTAAAAAGTGAGCCGATTTGGTTAGTCGGTCCACAATAACCCATACTGCATCTTTTCCCCTTGATGATGGGAGACCATATACAAAATCCATTGTGATTCTTTCCCACTTCCATTCTGGAATTGGAAGTGGTTGCAGTTTCCCTACAGGAGCTTGATGTTCTGCCTTAACTTTCTGACATACCAGACATGTGAAAACATGTTCAGCCGCTTCCTTTTTCATCCCACGCCACCAAAAATATGGTTTGATCGTGTGATACATTTTAGTTGCTCCTGGGTGCATAGCATAAGCAGAAGAATGAGCTTCATCTAGGATCTCTTCCCTCAAGTTATCAACATTAGGAACACATGCTCTTCCATTAATCTTCAACATGCCATCTACCATTTCAAATGGGCTTTCTTTTCCTTCCTCAATGTCTTGAATGATTTTTGCCAACTCTGGGTCCTCCTTCTGCTTCTCACGAATTTTGTCGTGCAACAAAGGTCGAATGTTCAACCGAGCTAGTAACCCTGTTACACCATCCACTTCCAAATCAACATTCATTGCCCTCAAATCAACCAGATCATTTATATTCTTCTTCCCCTTTCTGCTCAGAGCATCAGCAACTACATTAGCTTTACCTGGATGGTAATCAATGGTACAATCATAATCTTTCAACAACTCTATCCATCTCCTCTGGCGACTATTTAAATCCTTCTGATCCATAATATACTTCAAGCTTTTGTGATCAGTTAGAATTTTAAAAGTCTCACCATACAAATAATGTCGCCAAATCTTGAGAGCAAATACCACCGCTGCCAATTCTAAGTCATGAGTGGGATAATTTACTTCATGAGGACGCAATTGCCTAGAGGCATATGCGATAACTCTTCCATCTTGCATTAACACACAGCCCAATCCTTGATACGAGGCATCACTATACACCACAAACTCTCCCTGACTTGAAGGTAGTGCAAGTACTGGTGCTGTGGTCAATCTCTTTTTCAGTTCATCAAAACTCTTTTGACATGATTCATCCCAAACATACTTAGTATTCTTCCTCAACAGTTTAGTCAATGGTACAGCAATTTTAGAAAATCCATCGACAAACCGCCGATAATAACCAGCCATGCCAAGAAAACTTCTCAACTCCGACACATCTTTTGGTGGAGTCCAACTCACCACTGCTTCCACCTTTTTCGGATCCACCTCGACACCTCTTCCAGAAATTACATGTCCCAGAAATATTACCTCCTTCAGCCAAAACTCACATTTTGAGAATTTTGCATATAATTGTTTCTCCCTTAGAATTTGCAACACAATTCTAAGGTGAGTTTTGTGCTCCTCCTCGCTTTTAGAATAGATGAGAATATCATCTATGAACACAATCACAAACTTATCAAGATATTCATGGAAAACTCTGTTCATAAGAGCCATAAATACCGCTGGTGCATTAGTGAGTCCAAAAGGCATTACCAGGAACTCATAATGCCCATATCTTGTTCTAAAAGCTGTCTTTGAGGTTGCTCCATCTGCCACTTTCAATTGATGGTATCCAGATCTCAAATCAATCTTAGAAAAGACTGATGCACCCTGCAATTGATCAAACAAATCATCTATTCTTGGAAGGGGATAACGATTCTTCACTGTCGCCTTATTCAACCTCCGGTAGTCAATGCACATTCTCATGGAACCATCTTTCTTCTTGACAAACAAAACCGGTGCACCCCAAGGTGAGATGCTAGGTCGAATAAACCCCTTGTCTAACAATTCTTGCAATTGTTCTTTAAGCTCCTTCAGCTCAATTGGTGCCATTCTATATGGTGCCATTGAAATTGGTGTTGTGCCAGGTACCAATTCAATATCAAACTCTACTTCCCTTTCTGGTGGAAGGCCGGGAAGTTCTTCGGGGAATACATCAGGAAATTCCCTTACCACCTCTACATCCTCAACCTTCTTATCATTTACTATAGTAACTTGAGCAAGAAAGGCTTCACAACCTTCCTTCACTAATCGAAAAGCTTCCAAGGCAGAAAGAAAACCATGAGTCTCCTTTTTCTTAATGCCTCGGAATACAACAGGACCTTTATCTGGTGTGCTGAATAACACTTCTTTCTTTTGACAATCCACAACAGCTCCATGTGTTGCCAGAAAGTCCATTCCAAGGATGACATCGAATTCATCAAAAGGTAGCAGAATTAAATCTGCTGCTAGGAAAGCTCCTTCCACACAAATGAAGGAACTTCTAATAACTGAGTCTACCTTCAAGGTATCTCCCACAGGTGTTTTAACACATAAGGTATAGCCTAGCTTATCTGGAACTAAACGTAGCATATGTGCAAACGTATATGACATGAATGAGTGAGAGGAACCAGTATCGATCAAAGCATATAATTGCTTGCCAAGGATAGAAAGCATACCAGTCACAACTTCTGGTGCCACTTCTGCCTCACCTCGAGTCATTGCATAAACCCTCGGTGCTCCCTGTGCTCTGGTACCCTGCGTACCACTTCCTGATGGCTGATTTCGACCACCACCTCTACCACCCTGTGAACCACCACGACCACTCTGAAATCCACTACGGCCTCCCTGGTAACCACCCCTGAATGGGGCTCTACTAAATTGCACTGAAGGCTCGGACTGTGTAGCTCTTACTTCTCTCGCATGCGGGCAATCCCTCATGATGTGCCCAGGTTGGCCACAGTGAAAGCATACACCAGAAAATCTCCTACACTCTCCAATATGCCTCTTCTGACAAACTTGACAAAATGGAAATTGTGTGGCTGAGGATATTGGTGCCCTGTATGATGTTCCCGACATAGATTGACTTGGTGTTCTCCCAAAACTGCTAGGACCTCTCCTGGGTGGGTAACGAGGTCCAGCATAATTTACTCCAAACTTCCTCTTCTTCTCCTCTTCTTTAGCCTTGTGTTCCTCTCGGCTCTCAACTTCATAGGCTTCATACTTAAGTGCAGCCTCCTTGATTGTGGCCATGCTCTCTTCATCAACCCTGTGGATCTTTTCTTTCAATCCTATGCGCAGACCATGCAAGTATCTCATCTTCTTCTTTTGCTCAGTATCCGCCAACCCATCCTCAAAGTAAAGCAGTCGAACAAACTTGATGGTGTACTCAGTAACTGTCATATTCTCCTGCTTAAGGTTGGCAAATTCATTGTTCTTTGCCCTGATAAAAGCTTCGGGAAGAAACTCTGTCTTAAAGGCCTTCAGGAACTCCTCCCAGGTGAACTGAACTCGTTCACCATTAACTCTAGAGACTGAAGACCACCAGCTCCTCGCGTACCCCTTTAGGAGAAAAACAACATATTGTACTTTTTCCTCTGGGGTCGCATAAAGATATTCAAACACATCTTCCATCTCCCTCAACCACTCTACCACAGCATCCGGACTCACATCTCCTTTAAAGTCCCTACCACCCAAACTCTTCATCTTTGCATAATCTAATACTGGCGGTCTTGCATCAACCGCCCCCACTCCTCTCGACTGGTCAGTAGGAACATTTTCACAACTTCCGTGCGAGCTACAAGGAAATATTGGCCTTAGATTGATCCACACAAAATTCATTCCTCACCAAATCTCTCACTTGGTTAAAACAAAAATTTTCCCAAAATAAATACTTGAAAACAAATAAGTTCAAAACTCAATTTTGAAAACCATGATGCAGGTAATTTCATCCAATATACCCATACACATAATCATGTCAAACTCAATTCCCAGTTTAAGTCATTATGGGGTACTCCCCTCCTTAGGAGTGTTTAACCTCCCATAGGGTATAGTACGCCATAACAGCAAAAAGAGGGAACCGGGCTCTGATACCAAACTGTAACACCCTACCCTATACGTTTTGCCTAATCATATTGTTCACACAATTGCAGCGGAATCAATCTCGGGTGCTACATTAATTATCAAAATTTACCCAAATAAAATTTCGACATGAATTACTCGCGTAATGGGCTAACAGTTCTTGCAACTTGTCCTGCAAAATAATTCATCACAAACATATATACTCAAACCTTATACATGGACTTACATAGCCATAGTCACAGTTTCATACTACACAACTGCATACCAAACTTATACATACCATAATCGTCACAACTTACACAACCACATAAATATACACATATCATTAACTTTCCACACCTGTGGATATCTCACACTACATCAGAAGCTAGTATGCATATGAAAAACGTTCTCAAAACATTTTTACAAAAAGGGTGTGGATCACTGGCCAAAATCCCGAGTAGTAGTCCAAGCACAGAATAGTTGAAGACCATACCTCATCCTGGCTTCAACTCTAGCTCCTCTCCCACCTAACACTTATCTACTGCTGCTGCTGATGATCTGCTTACACATAGCATAAGCAGAGAAGAAGAATAAAAGAGGGTCAGCTCATAGCTGAGTGAGATAATCATAGCATCGTGAGTTCATAACAGAGCATACCTCTACCATACATCTAACAATCAAGCCAAAACACTAGGATCGGACCTCAGCCGTCCTCATATCCCAATAGGCAAAAGACTCAACCACCTTGACTTATGCATATGCATCTTATCATGTTTTACTTATAGGCGCCTGGCTACTCCCATGCTAATAACTCTCCCGGGAAACATACCCCACATCCCGTCGGATGTAGTCATACATACCCCAACATCCCGTCAGATGTGGTCATACATACCCCACACCACTATGGGTGTAGTCATACCCCGACACCACTCTGGGTGTGGTCATATCTCGTAAGAATTCTTCAATCACCACCACATGAGAGGTGTGACTATCATACATATCATAATAGAGTAATAGCATAGGGAGCCCTAATTACTATGTAGTTGACCGTGAGACCACAACACTCATATTTGGTATCCTTATACATGATTCATGTCTCATCTTGCTTAATCAATTCGTTACTTACACATGTACTTGACCTGACCATAGTTGGCTCAACATAGGTAAACCAGGAGTCGTATAGTTGCACTTCCTCGGGATAAACCCTCGTGCAAGTCATCCTCCTTAAAACATCATAATATCACCAGGGAATATATATTTTCCCACTTGTGCATCCAAATACAACAATCATGAAAAATCATACCTAATCACCTTCTCGAACCATCGTAAAGCATATTAACAGTCAAGCCCACAATTTGCAATATATACACAATCATCAGCATAAACAAGGTTCATATCGATTAGGGCAAGTCAATAATATCATACAGTAATCCAGGGTTCAACATATAGCACAAAAGCTCATACACCCCTAATCATGCCATTCTAGTTCACCTAGGTCAATTCTAAGCATCAATATAATTATCGTGATACGACAAACCCGGTATGCCGTGCTAATCCCTCACCAGTTCTGGTCGTTCAAACACCGGTTCTAGCCTCCCGTACTAAAACATCAATTTCACGAACGAGCCCCGAATTAAAATCCGAGACCGTCCTAATATCCCCTACAGTATCCCCGTCAATATTAGTTCTAGGCTCCGGGTCAAATTCTTGGTAAAAACACATCAAACCCTGGCCGGAGCTAAATTCAGCGGTTTGGACCCCGGCCTAAATAATAGCCGAAATTCAGGGATTAGAACTAGGGGATTGATTACCTCGCTGCAGGAAGCTCGTATATGAAATTTGGGCTCAATCCGGCTTCCGGATACTCCGAAACCCTAATTTGGCAGATCGGGAATTCAAGAAATTCCTGAACCAAAAACTCGTTTTAAAGATCTAAATCGATAAATCACGATGTATGGATGAATTAGGCATTACTTACGGGATTTTTGGATCACTGTAGCTCAAGAATCGAGCTACCAAAAATTATCCCCGGAGCTCTGCGTGCGGCTCTGCTCTGCTCTCGGTCCGTGAATGGAAAACGAAAGAACAAAATGAAATGGAAATGGATTGGGGCATTTTGTTTCTTGTACGTGGGGGTGGGGAGATTATAAAAACAGTCAGAACCGCTTTAGCGTTCCGTCATTATTATCTGTTCTTTTTTTAAATTTTCTTTTTATTATTATATACATAATATATAATTAATACGTATACTAATCCGATCGATCGATAATCCGATTTTCGTCGAAATACTGTTAAAACGCTCGATTTTAAATCGCGAACTTTCTAGCGATTGAAATATGGATTTTGCCGGAACGGGATGTTACAGTAATTGCACTTCAATTGGCCCAATCAAGCAATCATCACACTCCAATTTCACCTCAAATTCGAAATTGAGCAAAAACCCCCAATCTGAAGAACCCTAATTTTTTGTTTTTTTTTCTGTTCTTGAATCGTCAACTCTAGGTTTTTTTCAAATCAGACCTGGGGGTTGAGGGTTGATTGGAGTTGGTGGGAGGTCGGAGTGGGGGTGCTGGGTGGTGGCGAAGACCTCCGGAGACGGTCGGCGCGGCGGAGAAACGCGCGGCGGCGGACGGCTGTGGTGGAGATCAGGGGGCGGCCGGCGGAGGGTCGGCGGGAGGAGAAGGAGGCGGCTCGCCGGCGCTGCTGCTGTGGAGGGCGGAGAGCAGGGGGCGGCCGGCGGCGACCTCTGCTGCTGCTGTGCTGCTCGACGGGAAGAGGAGAGGGAGGGGAAGAAGGGGGGAAGGGGAAGGTCGGGGAAGGAAGGGAGAGGGGAAGGGCAGCAGCCCGACCCCCCCTTTTTTTTCTGTTTCTTTTTTTTTTTTTTTTTTTATTTTTTTATTTTTTTTTTTTGAAAGAGACACGGAATTTCTCCTTTTCAGTCCCCCCTTCCTTCTCAAAATTGTCAGATCAGTCCTCCCCCCCACAAAACTTTCAGATTAGTCCTCCCCCTACATTTGCGGTTTGCCTGTGCTCATTTTGCGGCCTCCCTGTGCAAAAAACATTCTGCCCGTGTACCTACAAAACACAAAATAATACCTTCCTCAAGGCTTTTTGAGCTGAATTTCGGCGGAGAGCCTCTAGACACACCCTAAAACTAAAAAATGAAAAAAAATTGAAAGAAAAACTCACCTTGGGTTGCCTCCCAAGAAGCGCTTGTTTTGCGTCGCTAGCTTGACGTAAAATAGCTCATTCCAGATGATATGTTGAGATTTCCAAGATGGAAACCCCTTCAATATAGTGCTTCAGCCTCTGACCATTCACCTTAAACGCCCCTTGATCACCAAGAATCTCGATTGCACCATGTGGGTACACTTTGGTCACCGTGAATGGTCGGGACCACCTTGACTTCAACTTTCCAGGGAAAAGTTTAAGGCGTGAATTGAAAAGTAATACCTTCTCTCCCACCTTGAACTCTCTTCTCAGTATGTGGTGATCGTGCCACTTCTTGGTTTTCTCCTTATAAATCCGGGCATTTTCATAGGCATTAAGCCTAATCTCGTCGAGCTCATTCAGTTGCAACAGGCGCTTCTCTCCAGCAATTTTTAGATCAAAGTTCAGCTTCTTGATAGCCCAATACGCCTTATGCTCGAGCTCGACGGGCAAGTGGCAAGCTTTTCCAAACACCAATCTGTATGGAGACATGCCTAAAGGAGTCTTGAAAGCAGTCCGGTATGCCCAGAGTGCATCATCTAACTTTCTTGCCCAATCTTTCCTTGTTGAATTCACTGTCGTCTCCAGAATGTGTTTCAGTTCTCTGTTGGAAACCTCCACTTGCCCACTGGTTTGTGGATGATAGGGTGTAGCAACTCGATGCTTAACCCCATATCTGGCCAGCAACGTGTTCAACTCCTTTCCCATGAAGTGTGTGCCCTCGTCACTGATGAGAACTCGAGGGACTCCGAATCTGGTGAACACGTTCTTCCTCAAGAAATTCACCACCGTCTTTGAGTCATTGGTGGGCAACGCCACTGCCTCCACCCACTTGGATACATAGTCGACTGCGACTAAGATATATTTGTTGTTGAAAGACGGTGGGAATGGCCCCATGAAATCCACTCCCCATACATCAAACATCTCTACCTCCAAAATCGAGGTCTGCGGCATCTCCATCCTTGCAGATATGTTCCCTGTTCTTTGGCACCTATCACATTGAGCAACAAAATCACGGGCATCTCGAAATAGAGAAGGCCAATAAAATCCAGACTGTAACACCTTTGCTGCTGTCCTATGAGGTCCAAAGTGGCCTCCTGCGGCCATACTATGACAGAAATTTAGCACTGACTTTACCTCACATTCAGGAACACATCGTCTTACCATGGTATCAGCACAATGCTTGTACAGGAAGGGGTCTTCCCATATATAATTCTTGGCAATAGTAATCAACTTCTTGCGCTGTTGATAAGACAAATCAGGGAGCTTACCTGTGGCGAGATAGTTCGCAAGATCTGCATACCAGGGAGCTTGTTGGACAAGGAGAGCGTAAAGCTGCTCGTCTGGAAAAGACTCATTGATCTCAACCTTGTCCTTAGGAATGGCCTCAAGCTCAAGTCTAGAAAGGTGATCGGCGACCAGATTAGCCGAACCTTTCTTGTCCCGAATTTCAACGTCGAATTCCTGCAAAAGAAGAACCCAACGAAGCAATCTCGGCTTGGCCTCCTTCTTTGAAAGAAGGTGCCTTATAGCTGCATGGTCAGTGTACACAACTGTTTTCGATCCCATCAAATAAGATCGAAATTTATCAAAAGCAAACACTACAGCAAGCAGTTCTTTCTCAGTAGTGGAATAGTTCAATTGTGCATCATTAAGAAGCTTACTTGCATAGTACACCGCATGTAACTTACCTTCCTTCCTCTGCCCCAAAACTGCCCCGACTGCATAGTCGCTAGCATCACACATAATTTCAAATGGCAAAGTCCAGTCGGGTGCAGTGATAATGGGGGCAGAGGTTAACTCCTTCTTAAGTCGATTGAAGGCCTGCAAACACTCATCAGAGAAGTTAAACACAGTATCTTTGGCCAACAAATCGCATAAAGGCTTGGTAATCTTGGAGAAGTCTTTAATAAATCTCCGGTAAAAACCGGCATGACCTAGAAAACTTCTAATTCCTTTTATTGTGCTGGGAG